GCAAGTTTGACTGTATCAAATACTGTCACATGTTGAATATACAGTACATCTAACATTTACTATAAACTCAGCATGTTAATGCAACCTGAAAGATTCATTCTACTGAATACAAAGCATACATATAGATGATTTTACATTCTTTTTTAGTTTACTTGAGATCATCCTTGTCGTTAGATAGAAATTGTGACTATGAGATGAACCTCATGCAAACTGACAAAGATTCATCATTAGCAAATATTTCTCAAAATCATTACTTAAAGTCTTGTCTTGGTACCCCATTATATTCATACTGATACATTACCATAAGATGGAAATTCTAACCATGAGAGGTTCATCATTAGCAAACATTTCTCTGAATCATTACTTAAAGTCTTGTCTTGGTACCCCATTATATTCATACAGATACATTACCATAAGATGGAAATTCTAACCATGAGAGGTTCATCATTAGCAAACATTTCTCTGAATCATTACTTTAAAAGTCTCGTGTTGGTACCCCCATCATATTCATACAGATACATTACCATAAGATGGAAATTCTAACCATGAGAGGTTCATCATTAGCAAACATTTCTCTGAATCATTACTTAAAAAGTCTCGTCTTGGTACCCCATCATATTCATACTGATATAATGTCAGATTTATGACTATACGCCGTCATCTGCCGTACAAGATGTCATCTGAAAAATGCTACTTCATAAACATTCCTGCTCCGAGGGAAAGGATTGTTGATGCTGTAACATTCTCGCTTAGAGCACCCATAAAATTAGGACTAATTTCTCCCCTTCCCTACAGCAACAGAACTGCACCAACTACTAGTTCATTCAGCTCACGATCCGAGCACCGACTTGGGTTTGCCATTAGGGAAAGCGGGGCGCTGTTAATATGCAACTCGCAAGACAAATGATAGTAATGGGCCTTGGCAAAACACGGCTTTGGCTTTGTGAAAGTAAATACTATGTGACTTGCAGTCTTCCGCCCATTTCATCTTCTCTCCATTGACCTCCTTTCAGACTTCTCTCCCTTTTCTTCTACTACAAATAAAGAGAATGGGAAGACATTCAGAGAAATCTTGAGAAGGTCTCCCATCTCCCACTCCTCTCTCATGAAGACAGGGGAAGGGGTGTGTAATTTTTTGTAATAATTGTATAATTGGCAAAGGTTGCTAGAACTGTCTTCCAAACATTTATTTCAAAGTTTTGAAGTGATCAAGAATACTGAAATGTCATTTTCGATTCCTCCTTGAGATGATCAAGCATCATGCGGTACAAAGGAACTATGTTTCATTACCTAAATTAGCTTGGTGAGAGATATTTTATCTCCCTATTGGCCTCATCGTTAATGCTACCAATTACAATAAACATTCCTGACTATGACATATAGTATCATACGTATGCCGCCATATAGCCTTAACCTATGGCTTGCATATTTTGAAGGTTAATTGCCCTTGTGTAATTTGTTTAATGGATGCATTAAATGTTAATACTCATCCAAGTCTGAATCATCATATTGTATAAGGGTCAGAGCAACTGTTTTTCCTATGTTCTCCAATACTGTTGGAATATTTAACTGCTCTGACATTGTGTAATTGGTTCATTGAATGTTACTTCTCATCCCTTCTGAACCATCATTTTCATCAAGCTCATGTTTTTCCCTATTTCAAAACTTCCACCAAATATGAATCATGATTGATATGAGATTAACTGAAAATTATGTCCTGGGATTTTCTTCAATGTAAGTACAAGGGCAGCAATGTTGGTTATTAAACAATGAATTTGTAGTCTTGTAAATTTCCTCTGCACCATCTCTCTATACTTTCAGAGAATGACTTCACATGGAGCACTGGTTACAATTATGGAGTCCTGCAAGAGCCTAAAAGAATAATGATAGTAATATTGTATATTCAATGAATTTTTCAAACTTATCAGTTAACTTTTTCTTAATAATATCATGAGGGATATCAATATGACGAACATGAAAATGCTCAAAGAATATTGAGACTCTAATATGACTCTTAGGATGAAATAATGAAGGAATAGAGACTAACCCTGTTCATTTCAAGAAGTAGGGCAAAAGACTGGAAGAGATAAAACAAATATCAAAAGCCTCATGTTCGTGCTACCAATTATTTCATTTAATTAACCCATAAGACAGACAGACAATAAGCCAGCCGAGACCAAGCCTTGAATAAATGATGGTCTACTATTATAGCACATATCAATTCCAAATACAATTACCATAGATGGGTTTTAACATCTAATTATGCAAAGCCTTTGAATATGGTCATGCAAGGACAAGGATAGTAATTACGCCAGGTTATTTAGGAGGGCTATTAATGATACTGTTGATTTCTATACAGATATCCTACTGAAAATTACACACACCAGGAAAAAAAAAATCCTTTTTTGTCACGTACAACTGACAAGCTTTATCTGTGTCTGTGTTATGCTCAGTAATTATTCATCTGATCTTCTTTTTTGTAATAATGTTCTCAATTCATTCACAGAGATATAAATCAATTTATTTTTGGTACTTAAAGAAATAATCAACTATCAAGTATCAATCTGAAATTAATCAATAACCTCTAAATGCATTTGCCTACAACATTCATTATCTATAGAAACAGCTGTACAGTGCAAAATATTAAAATGTAGAATAATTTGTCACTAACATAATTGATCATGATGTTCGTGGACGTGTCTTCACAGCTTGCTCAGGAAATTGCTCAATCAATAAAAGTGGTCGGCCGAGTGCCAGAAGGGTGTGAATTTCTATGAATTTACACCGAGTTAGCGCCCTTCTTACACCCAGCGATGTGTGAAATCTGACAGTACATTATAGGAATAAGGCAGTAAACTATACATGCCTATAATTAACATTTGAGAAAACATTGCAGGGAAGGACATTTTTTGTGCGTGTGCAAGGATAACATTTTTCCTTGGCAGTCTGGCCACTCAATTTGCAAGCATACAATGCTCTTCGCGAGATTAAAATATGTTTGCCCCACATTGGCAACAGTTTGTCTGGGTGCATGTGTGAAGTTTGTATTAAAGCCCACTGCCAAACAGGAAGCCTGTCACCTGCATGTTGGGAGGGCCAAAAGCGAGAATGGAATAACATTTATTTGCTGGAATACCACGATAACTCGTGGAGTGGAAAATCTCTTTCCTGTTTTCAAAGGGCAAACTCAGCTGCAAGATGCAGGCCCAAAATAGTAGCCTAGCTAGCTGTCTGAGTGGTGCCATTTCATGTTGATTAAATTCTACTGCTGGTGTGAAGATTGGGCAGAGAGAAATAGCATTTTGGGTTGTCGTTAGTTCCGTCATCTGAACATGGAGACTATTTAATATAAATCAGTGATTTTTTCCCCCGATTTAAACATTTCTTCTTGTATTTACTGAAAATCAACTATCAGTTTCTGTAAAACCCAGTTAAAAAGTGTTTTTTCACTACCATAAGCTTTAGAAAGGACCGGCTTTATATAGCGGGCTGGCCAGCTTTCAGTTTCACAATCTCCACCATTTATTAAAACCTCACATCATCAAACTAGATCAAACCATAATTTAAACATGGTCTACATTTCACAAGGGACAATCCCCGTATTTATATAGAAGTACAATCTCACTCCCTATGCAGTGAAATATAATATGTTGACTGCGCTTCCAAACTGCGCTCGTGTACACAGTGGCTTGAAAAAACGGGGGAGCTGTTTTCCACTGAACTTATGTACAGTATGTTGACAGGCAAGATGTTGACTGGTTTTATTTGACAATGACTTTGATGACTGGCAACCAGCTGGGGAAGCAATAAATCTTACAATCCACCCACGAATGAACAGAAAAAACCTTTAAAAGCATTACCTCTTCCTCCAGGCCTCTTTCTAGTCTTGTACTTCAGTGTGTAGTTATCACTTGTTTTCAACATTTTGGAATACCGACTAAACAAGTTCACAATCTTTAATCACACATATCATGTTGACTTCATACGAAGGCGTTATTATAGTTGTTGCTTTAACGAGAAACACATGTAGAACATGCCATGAAATGTTGAAAAACTCCCTTCATTTATGAGATTATGAGAACTTCCTGTCCTTTCCACAGGAAACGCCTATAAAGAGGAAATATGATTGTAGAAATCAGGCCACAACTCTACACTAGTACAATTAATCTCTACGTACGTGGTAAACACTTGTGTATCTTGCCAAGGTTCTGTAATACACAGTAGACTATAATGGTTATATGAATTGTATTTGACACAGGAAGTGAATGTGATTGTCTTTGCAATGACCTTTCATAGTTATTCCTGTTTAGTCTTGACGCAAGCATTCTTGGGGTTTACTTTGGCAAGCTAAAGCACTTTCCCAATACTCCCTTACCAATTATGTAATATAAATGAAGTAAATGTTCTTGACAAGTTGACAGGACTCAATGTAAGCAAAGAATATGAACTTTTGTTGACATTGTTCTTATCCTTGTAATGCACTGTAGATTGACATGATACTAAAAGAAGATTAGAATTGCTTTGAACGAAGACATTAAAGTTTTTCATCTTGCACTTATCTGAGAAAAGCTCTCAACAAATGATCAGCTTCAGTACCTCTATGTTCAAAGCTACTCTTTGAATTTGCAATACTGAGCTAATCTTCATGCTGTAGTATTACATCTAATCACCCCTTTACTGGCAAAAGAATACAATAAACCGGTAGGAAGAAATTCCTTTAATGCTGTGAGCCTAGCAGAGCTGGGGTAATATTGGAGAGCTTTGAGCACCTTGCAGGGTTGTTGTTGTCTGGTATTATCAGCGTTTCATTCTTTTTTAGAATACTTTCGCCGGGTGGATATGTGCACTATATTAATATCCAATATTATTATTATCAATACATGTAGGTCTTAGGTTTAAAGTTCAGGTCATTAAAAGTAATAATGTTCTTCACAAACTATTCTTGTTGAAACATTTCACGATATACAGGCGAACATCTTCTGAAAAACATCATTCCTTACCTCCCCCTGGCCGTTTCCTGCACTTGTACCTCAGCATGTAGTTCTCTGAAGTCCTCAGAGCCTTGGAAGGCACTGGTTTCTGCCAAGTAAAGGGTCTGTATTGATCCTCCTCCATGGCCACCTTCTTCGCTCCGTCCTTCTCCCCGTCCTGTGGCCCATCCTTGTCGGGCATGTGCCGCATCTTGTTATTGTTGTGGAGCTCCCTCATAGGAGTACTGGCAATACTTGTCACAGGCATGTTGCTGCCACTTTGTGTTGCTGCCACTTTGTATAGCTATGGCAGCAGTTTCAATGGATGATGGTGGTTCCACTAAGAGGTTTTCTACTTCTGATTGTTTGAGTGTGGCTGGTGCATTGCTCATTCACGCCACCTTGGTCTGGTTGTGTTGAAATCATGCATCATCTCTCCTTTCATATGGCTTATCTATTTACATCGATGCATTCAGATGGTATCTTAAAGTTTCTTGATGCCTCAAATCCATCTTACTCCTGGCATGGATGCACCACAAATAGTAATTCCTTGAATTCCATGTGCAGGTCTTTGCAAATCCAGAGGTAGCTTCCGTCTCTACAATAATATGATACCAACTAAGAGCCTGGCAAAAGCTAGATTAAGAGCTAGATTGACTAAGTAGAAAGCCTTGTGAACATAATCTGCAACATCACAAATGCAAAGTGAGTAATGTTCAATTATTTAACTAATATGACTTCTGCTGAAATCGCTGCAGTTGAATATCTTCCATTATATATTATGCAAACTCCCTTTGCCATCACCTCCGCTATGGGGTAAGAATCCACGCCAAGAACCTAATCTCCTTGAATCCGAGCTAAATTGCAACAAAGCTGGTTACAGTATCCTTTCCAATATATCTCCAGGACTATTCCAAAACAGTAGGAGAAAGAAGGAGGCATTGACACTTTCTCATTCCACAGAGAGAGAGAGAGAGTAAAGGCGGCAGTGATGCTCCACTCCAGCTATCGTGCTCCCCTTCCCTTTCGGCACTGAGATGGCTAAGCAAACACATTATCCAATCCCAACACGAGTTCCCCCATCCACACTCACTCACACACTCTCCCCCGACACACACACAAACGTACGCACTGCATCCCAAGATTTGTCCTCCCGGTCGCGATCGCTCTGGCCTCCGCCCAAGAGCATCGCGACATATTGCTACAGAGTACCTAGCAATGTCACTGATGAATAATACAGCTGTACCAGCAGAGGAAGATGAAAAATGCAATGCATTAGGCAGGAAGGACGGAGCTAATATCTGCTCACCCGAAAATCACTTTACTGTATCCTGGAAATTGGCCGACTATTTCAGCATCCCCATCTCCTCGCATTTACTTCCTGCAATATTACTCAAAATGGTTTCCAATCAAGTTTAATAATAAAAGAAAACTCTAATCAATATTTCCAGAAAAGCATTAGCACGACCCAATTGACAAGCATCGAGCACAGTATACATGGATTAGTTGCAAACTGCTTTAATATACCTCCATCCACTAATAAAAATTTCACCCAGATATTAATGAGAGCTGATGCAACTCATTTCGAAGCCTGATGGGCCGACAATGTGACAATCTAGAAACAATAGATGTCAACCAACCAAAAATCAATGACTTTCCAATGTGATATAATCCACCATCATTTGGGCAATAATGCAGCATAATCAATCAATTTAGGGAGTTCAAAAGAAAGCGCAAATAATGAGTTTCCTCCTCCAACAATGCCATATCAGACTTCAAAGGGAACCATTGATCACGGAGGGGCTTTCACTCCAGCCGAACCACTGTTTTCAACCTCGTTTCACAAAGTACGAGTGAACCTTTCATCAACTCTGCTCAAAATGGCAGACAGGGCTGGGGGTAGAGGTAAAGCTTGTCTGGGTATGATCTAGGTTAGATGTAACATGGAGAGCAGGAGACACAGGAGTGCAGATGATCAATTCTGCTTTAATGATTACATTTCTGGTAATGGCTGACCTATCGAACTTTAACATTACTTGGGGTAAGGTAATAAGGGATTGATTGGGGGATAATGGGCACTAGAAATATAAATACATATTACAGGTCTAACAATTTCCTCGCTTTATATGATTACATGAAAGGCCTAATAACTTTCTTACTTAGTAATATAACTTCCACACAAGATGCTGCTTCCAGCAACAGGCAATCAACATAGTCATTGTTGAACTTCATATGACCCAACTCTGTAAAATATCTTATTTCATACCAATATCATCACCACTTCATCCCTCTGAAAAGTTGAAGTACATTCTTCCATCTAACATTGTATCTGTTTATATCTGAATTTCTATTTGTCCATCAACAAACAAGGGCATCATATCGATACAATTTCAGGATGATGGGGGAGGTGGAAGGCAGGAGCGAAGGGGGCCAAGGGACGGGGGCAGGGATGAAGGGGGAGGGGGAGGGGGCGGAGGGGGAGAATTGGATAGATCAGTAGCCATCATCCATTGGATACATGAATCTCAATTCATTTGGGGATAATGGGACAACTGCTCTTTCACCCAAAACAGAAGCCCTTGACTGACAACAGACTTCAATGCCTCACAGTAGGATCAAAAGAACAGCACAATAATTTCAATTTGATAATTGTTTCTCCAAGCCATAAATCAAAGTAATGTTTACAATTTACATTACATTTTTGATTGCTCTCTTCATCACTTTGCTGAGAGCGGATTCCTGTATCATAAAAGCAATCATTGAAAAGCAATCGCTGCAGGAATTTTGAATCAAGGAATAATGACTCTTAATAGACCGCTTCAGGACACTCTTGATAAACAATGAAGACATCTCCCAAATCTTCCTCTCAAGTTCATACCAAGGCTAGACAGCCAGTGCGTTACGTTTATTTGTGTAACATGAAAACATGCCTGATCTGATACGGCGGCGGCGGCGGTGGCACTCAAGACAAAATACCAACAGACCCATCTGGCGCAGGAATGACAGATGTATCAGAAGACAGTGATCTGATGACAAGTTAAGATGTCATCCTGATGAAATAAATGTTCCCATTCCTTGTTTATCCTCTAAGGGGTTTGCAAGCTTGTATCATACTTCAAAAGAAGATACAATGCCAAGAAGTTGTTGTGTACTAAAAGATAGGTATGTCTATCAGGGGGCCGTTTCTCAAAACCGTCATAAGTCTAACTTCTGAAACATCCCAACGTGTGTTATAGAATTAAAACACGTTTCTATGGGATGTCCACAAACTTAGACTTATGACGATTTCGAGAAACTGGCCCCTGACCTTCATGTTCTGCAGCCTCAGACTATCTTGCATCTCTCCATCATCATCACTATCATCATGAAATGATTCCCAAGAGTCTGCAGATTAATTTCAGTGATGAGCACTGCTGCATCGATCTGCTACAAAATGCTCCATCCATCCAACGGTAAGGTTATTTCTAACATCACCATCCTCATTTACTTGATACCACATTTCAAAACAAACTTTTCTTTGCAATAAAAGGAAAAATGAGGATGTAAAGCCCCACTGGCACTCCTTCCTTATTTCCCACGAGATTGATATTTTATTCTAATTTTAAATGCTGTTAACCTGAACGAAAGAACCTGCTACTATTTAACCCAATGCATACCAGAGCTGGGTGGCTCCTGTGTTAAAGTCTATATGAATGAGAAAATACAGTAGTTGATGAGCTAATAAGTAATATAAGAAAGATATATATGCCTATAAATCAATTCGTCTAATTGCTGCCTGAACATTACAACACCACTCTCATTACTAAAAGTGTGTAATGTCTCCAAATAATTCTGCAGCTATGATGTATCTCCAAGGCCATAAATCCTGTCGCACATTCACTCCCAAATAGCAGCTTTGTATATGTTGAACGATCATTGAAGGAGGCATTAAATGCCAGGCACTCCAATTGTTATAAGAGCAACAAGCTCGGAAGCATTGGTCTCTCAAGACTTCCACTTTAATGTCCTCGACCATAAAAGCGTTTGTATATTGTATCTTCTTTCTATAAATAAGGACCCCAATTTAAGGGGGCGGGGCATCTAATGAGTAGGCACTAACGATGCCATCTTAAATAACAAACCATGGGAAGATTGCATCTAGTTTGTTGTGCCTTTTTCTTTAATGTTGGGACCATGTCAGCAGCCCAAGAACATCTTCCATATTTAACTAGTAGAAGTATCAGAAATCTAATGCAATTTACTTAGGAAAGCATTATTTAAAGGTACTATGCCCCATTTGCAGGCCCAAAAAATTAAAAGGTTAAATTCCAAAGGCATTTGAATGACAATACTAATTTAGAACTTCCCTAAAAAACGGGGGCTTGAAAATGTCTTTAAGTGGGAAAGTAACAACTATTAGTTGTCGAATCGACTTAGGAGCTATTGAGCCAGTAAGTAATAGTCTGATTTTTACGCCATTGTACCGAATGGTTGTTTGTTTTATGCTGCGCAAAGATTCAATCAGTTTAATTTTGGCCATTACAAGAAGTGGGTTATTGATGTAGACAAATGCTCTTGTACCCTTTACAGCTCATTTTATGTATGATATTACCAAAAATGAAAAAAGACCAGTCAGTCACTCAATAGTGTCTGACAGTGAAGCCTAGCAAGTAAACAGGTTTCTTTGCATAATTTGAATATTAGGCCACTGCTAACGTTTAAATTTCACAGATAGGACATACATGACATATTCATAATTCCTGCAAAGTTCTACAGAATTTGATGTTGGCTGCAAAAGGGACATAGTATAGAAACAATTGCTGCTCCAAAGTTACGCTACAAGATGCCGTTAAGGGGGTGTGCGTTACATAAGCAGAGTAGGAAGATGACTTTCACTGGCTGTGGGAACGCACGCATTCATCCAGGCCCAAGACAAGATTCTTCTCTGCTTTTGATTGACCTTTAGAGAGGGTCAGGATTTCCCATCACCTTTAAAATGAACTCCGGGAGAGGCAGTTCAGCATGCATGAGTCCTTTCACTGAGGCAGCACTGGAATGATTTTGGAGGGGGGGGGGGGGCATTGGTCTGATTTTGGAAAATAAAAAGCAATTCTACAAGGCTTCTGATTGGGGGAGGGTGCTGATGATCCAGGCATCCTCTTCTTTTTTTCCTTTCCTTTTCCCTTTTTCTCTTTCTCGCTTCTTTTTTCTTTCTCCCCCCCCCCCCCCCCCCCCCCCTGTACCCCCTGTAGCTATGCCACTGGGAAGACGGGCTAATTTGTCTCATGTACTGCAGCTAAAGTGCAATACCAGACAACCATAAAGAGAGACTGCAGACATAACAGACAGGTCACGTTGATGTCATTTAAAGGAAACAATGCTACTTTTATCTTAAAATGAAGGAAATATTGCACTCTCATTCTGTGTTTTGTACACTACCACAATGATGATGTCTTTTTCAACACTAGACTTTTGCCTGTTCTAATTATTATTACTGAATAGATTTTGACATTCGCAGAAAGAAAACAAAAATCATGAAATGAAAGTTCAATTAAAGATGTATTTTTTCAACTACAGCAACAAAATACATATCTCACATGGCATAACTGCATAAAAAACATGATTTATGAATGACTTCCTGCAAGATGAAACTAAGCTTGTTATGCTTTGGTAACTGTTCATTCATGCACAATAGAATTGAACAAAGTGATGCCTGCACCTTTCCACAAAGGCCAAGTTTCATCCCAAGATGGTCAACAATTTGACATATTATTGGTGCTAGAAATCTACCACAGAGCACGTTAAGCACTGAGCCGTAAGTTTACCATCCAAATAAAGTCGGTGCAATAACAACCGGCAGGACCACAACCTAAGGGGAGAACATGCATGACATTGAAGTCCCTGAAAGCCGCAAGAATACACTCAGAGACGAAATCAGTCAACCTTTACATCAAGCCTTCCCTCGCTATAGAATGCCCCTGGTTTGCAAACAAAATCGTGTTTGGTCAGTGCATTGCTTGGCTTGAACAAGAAAGTAGATGTTGTGACGTAAATAATTCATATAAATAGTTTGCAAAAAAAAAATGGAAAATACATGAATACATTGTATATATTTTTTAAATCATCTTCAGCAAATTTCTTTGCAAATTGGTATGCCTAGCCGACCCCCCCCCCCCCCCCCCCACCCCCTTACACAGAGCTCTGGTTCTAGAAAAAAATAATCCTTAAAACATGCACTATACAAGAAAACAACACTTTGAATGACAATAAAATGTTGATCAAATTTGAAATTTATTCATTTTCTCTTTTGCTGAGGGAGGGGGGGGGGGGGACTTCAATTGTGTGCATTCCTCGGATTGAAGGCAGAATTTAGCCAAGGATAATCTGATGATACAGCCATAATAAATCATAATTATGCTAAACAGAGTGCTCGTATCAACATAGGTTTAAGAATCTCAAATCTTTGCT